TTGTGGGAGTTGTACTTTTTGATACCCAGTGTGATGTAGTGGGTAGAGAGATGGACTTGAGGAAACCTCAGTTTAAATCCTTTCCTCGGCTATGGAAACTAATGGGAGGGGACTTACACTTAAAGAATTTGTAAAACCACTCCTTCAATATCCTTCTCATTCTGAAAACTCTATTATGGCTGTTTTCATTTAATTGTAGAAAAGTGAAGTTGGAAGGGGCCTACAAGGTCATCCAGTCCAACCCCCTGCTCAACGCAGGAATACCGTCAAAGCAGATCTGCCAGGTGATGATCTAACTTTTTCGTGAATGCCTCCAGTGTTGGAGCACTCAACAACTCCCGAAGTTACTGGCTGCACTCTCATCTCATGTTGCTCTAATACTTAGCAAGTTCTTCCTGATATTCAACCGAAATCTGGCTTCCTGGAACTTGAGCCCATGTGTTGCGTGTCCTACACTATGGGATGACCAAGAATAGATCTTGCCCCTCCTCTGTGGGACAGCCTTTCAAATATTTGGAAATACAGCTCCAGCTTGATGGTACACAGTGCTCATCTTGATGGCAGCACAATAGGTAACGTTACACTATATGGGGATAGTGAGGATATCTGCTGTTTGGTGGATGGACATTTGGCAGCTGTGGGTCTCCAGTTGCTCCACTACTGCTGCACGCCCATCTCCCCTTTCCTCCCACAGCAAAGTGTTTCTCAGAGGACAGCCTTCCTAACACAATTGATGTTGGGGTGATGTTGCCTGTTTTCACTCCTGCTCGGCTGACCCCAGCACTGTCCCTTTGCCCTTACAGTCTGTGAATGAATTTCTGGAATCCGTCGGAGCCCCCCTGGAAATCATCGATGGCTTCATTGACAGCATTGCCGTAACCATCCCTTGGTCTGCCTTGGTGACGGAGAACTGCACGGTGGAAGTGAGCGGCCTGCAGATCACGTGCCGGCCCAAGTATCGGAGTGGTGAGTGGAAGATGGAGGAGCTGGCACGCTGGTTTTGAGCGGGGGCGCTTGGGGTCCCAGGAAGGGGAAGGAGAGCCAGGTAGAAGGGGTTCAGCTCCTGCAGGTTGAATTTTTGCTACTGCTTTGGTGAACACTGAGAATATTATTAGCAAGCCCTGAGAACTGCCTGCACATTCACCGTAGGAGTTTGTTGGCTAAGGGAAGGGTCTGATTCTCAGATGTCAAACACTAGCCTTGGATACCAGAAGGTCCAGTTTCAGTCCCCTGGCATCTTCTGGCAGGGCTGGGAAAAAGGCCTTTGTCTAAATTTTGCAGAGCTGCTGCCAAGGCAGGGGTTCGCAGCCTTAGGTCCCCAGATGTTCTTGGTCTAAAAAACTCCTAGAAGGCTTCGCCAGGAGCTGCGCTGGCCAGGATTTCTGGGAGTTGTTGTCGAAGAACATCTGGGGACCCAAGGTTGGGAACCTCGAGTTCAGACCAATGATTCCCAAAGCTGCGTTTTGATTATAACTCATGCTGCCTGGGTCTTCTGAAGCTCAAGTCCTGGCAGTCTAAAATCTAACTGATTTAAACTCTGCTAAACCAGATGGTCAAACTGTCTTGAGTCAGCTAAAGGCAGCCTAAGAGCCTCTTAGATTTTCCCACCACCTAAACCAGGAAACAAAGCAGCCCTTCTCCCCCATGCACTTGGGGGGGGGCTGTCTGCCCCTGCCCCACAGATGTGATGATAATGGTGCTGGCATCACCCTCCCTGCTGCAGGAGCGGCAGCAGCCCCACATCTTGTGGCTGCTTCTGGCTCTTCCAAGATCTTGCTGTTTCCAGAGTCCTCAGAACTGAGCTTGTGTTGGAAAAGGAGTCTTGGGCCAGCGGCAATTTCTCAGCTTGGCCCCCTCTCCGCTTTCTTGGCATCAAGGACCCCTTGGAGCCTGCTGACATAGAAATAACCTATTCTGGAGAGAGCCTTACACCGATGCGGGTCCCTCTGGGCAGCTGTGGGGTGAGGTGGGGGGGCTGAGTTGACTGCCTTCCCCCCAATCTTCTCATAAGACTGCACCTTAGGCAACTTTCTCTGTTCTGATGAGAGGAGTGGCAATGGTGGTGGCGTGGCTTCTGTGGCTTTGGCACCTGTGTCTGTTTCTCCCCCCCCCCAAATCAG